AATGGGGGGCCGGCTGACCCTGAGGGTGCAATATCGGGCAGGGAAAGAACGACGACGGGGGGCTGACCCTGAGGAATGCCCAGCGAAAGGAGCGGAGAGGCGAAGGGGTGGCCGGCTGACCCGGAGGGTGCAATGCCGGGCAAGGCAAAAAGCGAGGACGGGGGCCGACCCTGAGGGCGCGATGCCCAGCAGCGAAGGGGGCGCGGGGCCGACGGAAAAATACGAGGGCTGGCCCTGACGGCGAAGCGCCCCCGCGGGCGGCAGCCACGGCGCGCGCCCAGCAGGTAGACGGCGTCGTGGCGCGCGTGATTGGCCCCCTTGCACTAGGGTCGACCGAACCTACGAATCGCCGGACTCCTACTTGGTCTCCTGGACGCACCGGACTTTCGTAGGCGTCTCAGTGATCAACTCCTTGGCCGACCGCTTTCCCGCGAGCGACGTCTTCTTGGACACCAACAGTTCGCGACAGCCCTGGAGCTCCTCCTTGAAAGTGCTGCGAACGTCCGGCATGTCCTTGCACGAGAAAATGTTCTCGGCCACGAGCGTCCACGCGAGGTTGGATCCCTGCGGGCGGCCGACGACGAGGTAGTCCACGTCCTCCTCATCCATGAGCGACGCGCCCGCCCGACTCTTGGGCACCAGCATCTCCACGCGGAACGGGGCGGGGTCGTCGGCGCCGTCCGCGACAGTGGACACGACCTCCTCGTGCGTGATCTCTTCCATGTCGCCGAGGTCCGCGCGCGTCGGCTCACCCCGGGCGCGCGCCAGGACCATGACGCACTCGGCGACGCAGCCGGTCTGCTTGCACTTGGCGGTGGACAACGTGTCCGTCAGGTCCGTCGCGAGGTTGGAGACCGGAAGGACGGCGCCCGCGCCGTGGTCTGCGACGAGCGACAACACTTGCTTGAGGGCGGGCCGCCGGGGCGCGCCCCAGGGCACCATCAGCGCTGGCGTCACCTTCAATATGGCGAAGTTGCACTCCGCGCGAGCGTCGACCGACCGGCTCTGCTTGGCCTGCGATAGCCTGGCCACCTTCTCACGGTTGGCGCCGAGGACGACGTCGCATCGGACCTGGAAGCACATGCCTGCGACAGTGCGCTGCTCTATCAACTGCTGCAACTCGTCGAGGGTCGCGACGCCGGCGAGCGCGACCAGGCTGTTCTCGTCCGCCAAGATGTCGTCCAAGCCGCCCGTGAAATCCCCCAGGGTCACAGAGCTCAAAGCGGATTTGTTTGTGTCTGGCTCTGGCCGGTGCTTCATGAAATGCTTGCAGTTGCCCTCCGGGTTGATCTTGGTGCGGCAGTGCTTGCACTTCGTGTACACGGGGTCGGGGTTGGAGACGCCCGTGAGCCACGCGCCGTGCACCTCTACCTGCACCTCGGCGGGCAGTGGCCGGCCCCCGGAAACGGGCGACTGGGTGGATGCCTCCATCACGGCGTTCGGCGGGCTTGCTGCGTCGGCACTTTCCGTCCACGAGAGGGAGCAGGTCTTCAATGTGCGCAGGCAAGTCTTGTACAAACCCTGCTTCGGGCTCTGCATGCGCACCACCGCGCCGCTCGGGGCCCACACCGCAGACATGCGTTCGCCCACCGTGGCGCTCAGGGCTAGATGAGGAGGAGGAGGATATAGAAGGAGGAGGAGGAGGATATAGAACCGCATGCGTGGAAACGTTTTCACGACACGGGAAGGGAGCCAGCACGAGTTTTGGGAGGTGGTCGTGCTGGGGGAAGGGCCGTGCTGGGGGGGTGGTCGTGCTGGTGGGGGGGTCGTGCTGGGAGGTGGTCGTGCTGGGGAGTGGTCGTGCTGGGGCGTGGTCGTGCTGGGGCGTGATCGAGCTGGGGAGTGGTCGTGCTGTGGTGAGGTCGTGCTGGAGTGTGGTCGTGCTGGGGTGTGGTCTTGCTGGGGTGGGGCCGTGCTGGGAAACAAGCGTTTCGCTCGAGACATCCTCAAATTTTAATTCGCCGGCTCGTTATTTATCAAGGAAAAAATTCGCCGGCAATTCGCCGGCTCGTTATTTATCAGGGAAAAAATTCGCCGGCAATTCGCCGGCTCGTTATTTATCAGGGAAAAAATTCGCCGGCCTCCTTCAAGCAGGCACCGGGGGACAGGTTTACCTAGTAAAAGAGAACCCTGGGCCCAGGCCCTTTCCGGGAAAAAGAGGGTGCGGAGCGTTTTTCGCAGAATCCTCGAAAAATAACGGGGTCTGGAGCCCCGACCGCGACTCGGAAAAGCGCCCCGCGCGCAGGAATTCCGAGGATGTCTCGCGCGTGCCGCGTCCCGCGCGCAGGGATTTCGAGGATGTCTCGACTAATTCGCTTGTTTTGTCAGGATTTCTTAGAACTTTGGCAGGATGTCTCGAGCGAAACGCTTATTTTACATAGTTTGTGGAGGATGTCTCGAGCGAAACGCTGGTTTCCGCAAAATTTGGAGATGTCTCGAGCGGGGGGCCAGAATTCAGAGGATGTCTCATGCGAAATGCTTGTTTTCGTGTCCCGCTCGCGGGAATTCCAAGGATGTCTCGCGCGGGCCGCGTCCCGCGCGCAGGAATTTCGAGTGATCGGAAGACTAATTCGTTGTTTTGTCAGGAAATCTTAGAATTGTTGACCGATGTCTCGAGGGGGGGGGGGGGGGGCGAAACGCTTGTTTATCAAAATTTTGCGCGCAGGAATTTCCCGAGGATGTTCTCGCGCGTTTGCCGCGTCCCGCGCGCAGGAATTTCGAGGATGTCTCGACTAATTCGCTTGTATTGTCAGGATTTCTTAGAACTTGGGCAGGATGTCTCGAGCGAAACGCTTATTTTACATAGTTTGTGGAGGATGTCTCGAGCGAAACGCTGGTTTCCGCAAAATTTGGAGATGTCTCGAGCGGGGGGCCAGAAATCAGAGGATGTCTCAGGCGAAATGCTTGTTTTCGTGTCCCGCTCGCGGGAATTCCAAGGATGTCTCGCGCGGGCCGCGTCCCGCGCGCAGGAATTTCGAGGATGTCTCGACTAATTCGTTTGTTTTGTCAGGATTTCTTAGAAATTTGACCGGATGTCTCGAGCGAAACGCTTGTTTTTCATAATTTGTTGAGGATGTCTCGAGCGAAACGCTGTTTCTGCAAACTTGGGGATGTCTCGAGCGGGGGCCTCGTGGGGGGCCAGAATTCAGAGGATGTCTCAGGCGAAATGCTTGTTTTCACGTCCCGCTCGCAGGAATTCGGAAGATGTCACGCGCGTGCCACGTCCCGCGCGCAGGAATTTTGAGGATGTCCCGTAGCGCGTCCCCTTGGCACGGCCTACGGTGCGACCCCATGGCACGTCCCTTGGCACGTCGCCTGGCGCGTCCCTGGGGACGTTTCGCGGCGCGTCCTCCTGGCATGTTTTTCATAATTTGTTGAGGATGTCTCGAGCGAAACGCTGGTTTAGCAAAATTGGGGGATGTCTCGAGCGGGGGCCTCGTGGGGGGCCAGAATTCAGAGGATGTCTCAGGCGCAATGCTTGTTTTCGTGTCCCGCTCACAGGAATTCCGAGGATGTCTCGCGCGTTCCGCGTCCCGCGCGTAGGAATTCGGATGATTTTGATAGGATGTCTCGAGCGAAACGCTTGTCCCCAGCACGTTCAGTAGCGCGTCCCCTTGGCACGTCCCGCGGTGCGACCTCATGGCACGTCCCCTGGCACGACGCCTGGCGCATCCCTTGGGACGTTTCGCGGCGCGTCCTCCTGGCATGTTCCCCTTGTCCATCAGCTCTGGGGCAGCTACTATGTGTTCAGGCAGCTTCCAGATCAGTTCGGTCAGGACTCGGATGCAAAGGAGGACTCGATCCACGACGCTATAGAGCACAACCGCGGCATGGCACATCGTAGTTCAGCACGGCGCAGCACAGCACAGCCCTCGGCAGGGTACATCAAGATCGATACACTCAGCATTACAACATGGCACGTTCTTTGGCACGTTCCGTGGGGCGTCCCTTGGCGAGTCCCCCTGGCACGTCGCGTGGCGCGTCCCCTGGCACATTCCGTGGCACATCCATTGGCACGTTCCGTAGCGCGTCCCTTTGGCACGTCCTACGGTGCGACCCCATGGCGCGTCCCCTGGCACGTCGCCTGGCGCACCCCTTGGGACGTTTCGCGGCGCGTCCTCCTGGCATGTTCCCCTGTCCATTAGCTCTGGGCAGCTACTATGTGTTCAGGCAGCTCGAGCTTAAGATCCAGATCAGTTCGGTCAGGACTCGGATGCAAAGGAGGACTCGATCCACGAGGCTATAGAGCACAGTCGCGCCATGCACATCGCAATTCAGCACGGCGCAGCACAGCACAGCCCTCGGCAGGGTACATCAAGATCGATACCTCAGCATTGCATTTGCCCGTCACCCAATCAGGTGTCTTTGAAAACGCTGCCATATGTTACAGTTCTATATTCCTTTCCGGGTTCGTGGGTCGATCATGATTGGAGGGATCTTGGGAGCTTTTTGGGCCGTCCTGGACCATCTCGAGGCAATCTTATGCCGTCTTGGGTGCATCGGGGGCCGTCTTGCAGACATACCGCGGTCATCTTAGGCTCTCTTGGATAATTTTGGCAGTTCGGGAGGCCATGTTGGACGTTCTGGAGGCCTCTTTGGCTGTCGTTGCGTCCTCTATGGGCCGTCTTGGTGGTCTTTTGGACCGACATAGGGCCACCTTGGAGGCTTCTTGGGCGATTTTGGGTCCGTCTTGGGTCTTCGGAAGGCCGACGCGGAGCAAAAGCCCCAAACCCTCGCAAACCCCAATTTGGGTTTCTTAATAAGCGTGGGGGGGTACTTCCCCGATGGGTGTCAACCTCGCCTCGTCGTCGCGCCGCGACGGGGGTCGGAGTGCCTTCGGCGCGCGGTGGCTGCCGGCGACGGGGGTCGATGTGGGGTTGTCGGCCGGGTTGGCGCCCCCCCAACGCTTATTAAGAAATTCGGAGTAGGGAGCTCGATTATGTTGGCCGCCTCGGACCTTCTCGAATGTCATCTTGGAGGCCTCTTGGGCCGTCTTGGAGGCCTATTAACTCAGGCAATTTGTGGCTCAAGTTCTGGGCCGTCTTGGAAGCCTGTTGGGCCGTCTTGGAGACCTACTGCCTCGATCCCAGCGATCTCTTATCCAATGGTCTCTTGTGTTGGCGTCACGTCGGTGGCGCTCGTGTGCATGTCGGGGCTGCTCGTATTCCTGAGCGTGGCCTGGCGAGGACCAGTGGTTCGATTAAGTTCTGCGCTGGTATTTGGCCAGAGCAGCATGATCAATGTGAGCGGCCACGCGGGCAGCACGATCGTGAAGTCCAGGCGGAATGCCGCCGCGGCCAAGCATTGCAAATCATTGCCCTGTATCCCAAGTTTGAAGGTTTCGAGTCGGTCGTCCAAGTTGCAGATCATGGGACAAGCCAAGGGCGGCGCCACGGTGTCCACCCAGATCATGTTCAATTTCCTGAACATAACGAAAACGGCGTTGGATTTCAACGGTTGGGTTCACGAATACCGTGGCAGAGTATTCAACCAGGATGCAGACCACGAAGAATACCGGTGCTCCGAGTGCGGGCTGAATGGCTTGAAGTGTCTCCAGATTGTGCGCAATCCGTTGGATCGAGTGGTCTCTTCGTACATTCACACCATGAGTTCCAAGATACACACATTTATCGAACGCGAGATCGCAGACTTCGCAGCAGACGCCTCTTTCGCGGAGTTCATCGCTTTCTTGAAACGCACTGCAGCAACGCGTAGCCGCTATTGGCAAGACATGCATTACTTGCCCCAGTGCGACAATGTCTGCAAACATACTGAATTTGACCGGGTGCAGCATCTCCCACTCGAGAGCTTGGATGCTGGATTGGCTTGGTTCGGCCAAACCGAAAACATACAGGGCCTGACCAGGAATAACATGTCATCGCACCACTACGTCAAGAAGTCCCCCCGGGTGGATCCAGGAGCAGCATATCTCCGCTACAGCAAGCATCTGCATGATTCGCCTCCGTCCTATGAGTCCTTTCTCGCCGAGCCCAGCATATTCAAGGATTTATGTTGTCTTTTTCGGGCAGATATCGAGTTGTACCGCATGTCATGTTCTTCAGAGTGGTTGCAGGGGTGCGCAGAATGCGTGGACAGTTGTGCCAGAGAGCTACGGAGGTTGGCGCCCTGCGATTAGCGGAGGGTGGATCGTTCGAGCGAGAAGACGCTCGTTCGAGCGAAAAGGTAATCCGTTCAAGCGAAAGCCAATCGAGCGAAAACCAATCGGGCTTGGACAGAGCAGCAGAGAGCACAGAGAAGCAGAGAGCACAGAGCAGCAGAGAGCACAGAGCACAGAGCAGCAGAGAGCGCAGAGCAGCAGAGAGCACAGAGCAGCAGAGAGCACAGAGCAGCGGAGCAGGGACACAGAGTGCACACAGGGCATGTGCGCACGGGGCACGAGCACACAGGGCACGAGCACACAGAGCAGGGCCACAGAGTGCACACAGGGCTCGTGCACGCAGAGCAATACCACGCAGAGCACGAGCTCACAGGGCACCCGAGCACGAGCACGCAGAGCACGAGCACGCAGAGCCCGAGCAACACAGGGCACAGAGCCGGGAACCGGGAATTTGGGCTTTTCCAGCCTCGATCTCTCCAAAGTCCTGGTTCCCGCCATCCTCTCGGCCGCCGTGGGTCCCTGGCGCGCCAGGCATTGCGGGGAACCGGGAATTTGGGCTTTTCCAGCCTCGATCTCTCCAAAATCCTGGTTCCCGCCATCTTCTGGGCCGCCGTGGGTCCTTGGGGCGCCAGACAGAGCCGGGAACCGGGAATTTGAGCTTTTCAGCCTCGATCTCTCCAAAAATCTTGGTTCCCGCCATCGTCTGGTTCGCCGTGGGTCCCTGGCGCGCCAGGCAGAGCCAGGAACCGGGAATTTGGGCTTTTCCAGCTTCGATCTCTCCAAAATCCTTGTTCCCACCCTCCTCTGGGCCGCCGTGGGTCCCTGGGGCGCCAGACAGAGCCGGGAACCGGGAATTCTTTACGCTTCGCGTATCCCCACCAGCCCATCTCACAACAGCAACTCTTGCGAAGCATGCCGACAGTCGTGTTTTTCAGGCGTGTGTCCGCTTGCCCCCGCATATCTCCCCTGTTCCTCTTTCCTCCCGCCTCCTTGTACATCCTCCTTGTGGGGGGAGCGGGAGAAGGACGAGGCGGAGGAGGAGGGAGAGAAAGCGGTGGGAGGCAAGAGGGACTTAGCGGAGACGACGACCACAGCGATGATCCTAACAACGACGACGCACCCGACGACGACGACGATGTCGACCGCAACGACGACGACGACCACAACCGCGACGACGACGACGACGACGTCGACGGCGACGACGACGAAGGCGGCGGCGACGACGACGACGACGACGACGACGACGACGACGACGACGACGACTGGTGGGAGTCGTTGGGGGCCCTCGTGGTGTGAGTCCTTCGGCCCCGTCGTCCTTGTGTGAGTCCTTCGGGACCCTATTCCTGGTGTGAGTCGTTCGGGCTCCTCGTTGTGTGAGTCGTTCGGGCCCCTCGTCCAGGTGTGAGTCGTTGGGGCTTCTCGTGGTTCGAGTCGTTCGGGCCTCTCGTCCTGGTGTGAGTCTTTCGGGCCCTTCTTCCTGGTGTGAGTCGTTCGTGCTCTTCGTGGTGTGAGTCGTTCGGGCTCTTCGTCCTGGTGTGAGTCGTTCGGGCTTCTAGTGGTGTGAGTTGTTCGGGCCCCTCATCCTGGTGTGAGTCGTTCGGGCCCCTCCTCCTGGTGTGACTCGTTCGGGCTCCTCGTGGTGTGGGTCGTTCGGGGCCCGCGTCGTGGTGTGAGTCGTTCGGGCTCCTCGTGGTGTGAGTCGTTCGGGCGCCTCGTCCTGGTGTGAGTCGTTCGGGCCCCTCCTCCTGGTGTGAGTCGTTCGGGCTCTTCGTGGTGTGAGTCGTTCGGGCTCCTCGTCCTGGTGTGAGTCGTTCGGGCTCCTCGTGGTGTGAGGCGTTCGGGCACCTCGTCCTGGTGCGAGTCGTTCGGGCCCCTCGGAGTAGTAGTAGTAGTAGTAGTAGTAGTAGTAGTAGTAGTCGTAGTAGTAGTAGTAGTAGTAGTAGTAGTATAAGTAAGTAGTAGAAGTAAGTAGCAGATGAAATAAACTATTAGTAGTAATCGCAACACGTAAGTCCGTCACGACGCGTCGCAGTAGTTGTCCATTAAAGCAGTAGCAGTCCCACTAGCAGTAGTGGTTCGAATAGGAAGTTGTAGTAGTTGAGTAGTAAAGTAGTAAGTAGTAGTAGATAAGTAGTAGTAGTAAGTCGTAGACGTAGACTAATAGTCGTAGTCGAATGTCGTAGTCGTAGTCGTAGTCGTAGGTACGTAGTAGTAGTAGTAGTAGTAGTTAGTAGTATTATGTAGTAGATAGAGTAGTAGTAGTAGTAGTAGTAGTAGTAGTAGTAGTAGTAGTAGTAGTAGTAGTAGTAGTAGTAGTAGTAGTAGTAGTAGTAGGTAGGAGGTAGTAGTAGTAGTAGTAGTAGTAGTAGTAGTAGTAGTAGTAGTAGTAGTAGTAGTAGTAGTAGTAGCCGTAGGGGCCCCTCTTCCTGGTGTGAGTCGTTCGGGCTCCTCGTGGTGTCAGTCGTTCGGGCCCCTCGTCCTGGCGTGAGTTGTTCGGGCTCCTGGTGGTTCGAGTCGTTCGGGCCTCTCGTCCTGGTGTGAGTCGTTCGGGCCTTTCTTACTGGTGTGAGTCGTTCGGGCTCTCCGTGGTGTGAGTCGTTCGGGCTCTTCGTCCTGGTGTGAGTCGTTCGGGCTTCTCGTGGTGTGAGTTGTTCGGGCCCTTCGTCCTGGTGTGAGTCGTTCGGGCCCTTCCTCCTGGTGTGAGTCGTTCGGGCTCTTCGTGGTGTGAGTCGTTCGGGGCCCTCGTCCTGGTGTGAGTCGTTCGGGCTCCTCGTGGTGTGAGTCGTTCGGGCGCCTCGTCCTGGTGTGAGTCGTTCGGGCCTCTCCTCCTGGTGTGAGTCGTTCGGGCTCTTCGTGGTGTGAGTCGTTCGGGCCCCTCGTCCTGGTGTGAGTCGTTCGGGCTCCTCGTGGTGTGAGGCGTTCGGGCACTCCGTCCTGGTGCGAGTCGTTCGGGCCCCTCGTAGTAGTAGTAGTAGTAGTAGTAGTAGTAGTAGTAGTAGTAGTAGTAGTAGTAGTAGTAGTAGTAGTAGTAATAGTAGGAGTAATTGGAGTAGTAGTAGTAATAGTAATAGTAGTAGTCGTAGTAGTAGTAGTAGTAGTAGTAGTAGTAGTAGTAGTAGTAGTAGTAGTAGTAGTAGTAGTCGTAGTAGTAGTCGTATTAGTAGTAGTAGTAGTAGTGGTAGTAGTAGTAGTAGTAGTAGTAGTAGTAGTAGTAGTAGTAGTAGTACTAGTAGTAGTAGTAGATCTCAGGAGAGGCCCAAGTCTCTATTGTCCTCCAGCGTTGTCGTCGTTGTTGCCATTCTGGCTCACAGTATTGCAGTGTGGCTGTGAGCTTAGCTCCGCCTACCAGCAATCGTTTCCGCCTACTAGCAATTTTCCTGCGGCTGACATGGAGAAGCGCCCGTACGCTCTGGTAACCTTGCCAGCAAGGAGGGCTTCTTGGAGCGAGCGTGGAGAATGTCGGTCGTCGACGAGGCCAGTGAGCGTAGCTCAGCCCACCCCGTCTGCTCCGACAGGAAGCGTGGCCATCCCTGAGGACCCGCCGCGGTATGAATGGTGCGGAGGCGCCGAGAATGCAATCTCTCACGTTTGCAAGAGGTGCGGCCTCGACGTGTGCAACGACGTACAGCAGTGCTTTGCTTTCGCGAGCACTGGGCCTTCTGATTCGGCTGTCGCTCGTGACACCGCGTTGGAGCATGTATTCCACGACGGCGGAGTCCATTGCGGGGTGGACTCTTTCACGATTCGTGCATTAGTCGACCAGGTCGCTCCGGGAGTTGGGACATGGAGCGGCAGCCCAGCGATGGGACGTGCAGGAGATGTTCGACAAGGTGAACCGTAATGTGGACTTGTTGGAGTGGATGCCAGGCATGAAGTTTGGCCACTTGTTGCTACCGTGCGCCACCGCAGAGGTGAGCTCCGAAACAGGCAAAGGCGTTTCGGTCCTCTGCTTCCCATTCCTTCATGCTCACGCGGGTCTGGAGGTCGAGAGCGCTATAACAGAACTCTGCATTCTGGCTTGGTCGACGACGACGACGACGTCGACGCCGACGCGGACGACGACGACGACGACGACGACGCGACGACGACGACGTCGACACAACGACGACGACGACGACTACGACGTCAATGGTGACGCCGACGGCGAGCGGAACGCACGCGCCCATCGTGGTTTTGGCACGATGTGGCCGCGTTGCGCAATGAGGGCACATCGCCCATCACGCTCACGGGCTCGCCACTTTTTGTTGTGATGCATGTTACCCCCTCCTCCATTGGCCCCGCCTTCGTGGCAGCAGCTCCTCGTTGCGGCTAACGCTCGGGGGCATGCACGCACGGCGGCCACCGCGGGATGCCCCAGACACGCGCCACTCTCGAGCTTCTATTTGCGCGATCTGGCCACCTTGCGAAATTAGGGCACCCACTCCCCGTCAAACACACACATACACACATTCAAAACACAATCGCACACACATCACACACACAACAAACAGCACAGAAAGGCACGCATAGAATTTGAACCCTTTCCCCCGCTGCCAAGGGGGTGAGGGGGCACGCCATTTTTTGTTTGGAGGTTGATCGGGCCCTGGCGAGGCCTGGAAGTCGAACCTCCGATGCTTCGTCTACCGCGCTCGTGCGCAGTAGACGCGTCGAGCGTTGCGCAACGTGTTGGCTGAATTGCACTTGCCCTTGCAAAAAAAAAAAAACTGGAAAACTGAAAAAGTACAGCAGGAAGAAGGCCCTCCGAACCTTGCAGGGGTGAAGTCTCATGAAAGGGCCTGCAGGGATGCAAGAGCTGCAGGCTATCTACATGACTTTCGGCCTTTCCCGCCACAGGCTATCTACTGGCCTTCGGCCTATGTGCCTCAGGATATCTAGGGGCCTGCGGCCTATCCCGCCACCGTGGTGCAGGGATTCAAGATCTTCAGGCTATAATATTATACAAGGCTGTCAGGCTCCAGCTTGAGATTTTGGGCTTATCACAGGTTGTGGAAGTGCATAAAGACTGACAATGGATAATATAGTCCGCGGGCGATCCTTCAGTCGCAAGTTTAAGAAATGTCATGTTCTCTTGGTTGTTTTGTGTTCTGTTGGATCATTTGCGGCCCTGTATCAAGTTGTTTGCTAGAG